CGGCCGTGGTGGGCTGTGGCTGCGTGGCCGTGGTGGTGGCGTTCCTGGCCGGGCTGTGCGTGAGGAAGAGGTAAAAACGCCGCTCTGGGTTTAGGGGGGTGAGGAACCAGCTCCCTGCAGCCCTCCCGTGCTGCTCTCCCTGGCCAGGCTTTGCAGATGGGAGGGTTCAGCTGCCCAGGTGTGGGGTGCCAGCCTCCTGCTGCCATCTAGTGTCACCGTGCGTGTCCCCTCGGCTCCCAAACCTCCTGGGCTGTGCCAGCAGCACGGATAGCCCGGCCCGGGCGTGTGCTGAGGGGTGTCGGTGTCCCGGCAAAGGGAGGGAGGGAGGGAGGGACGGGAGGAGCGGGTGATGCTCCTGGCCGGGGGTGACACTGCTGCCGCCTTCCCTCGAGGTTTGCGACCGTCTCGGCCCTGGAGAGGATGGGGAACAGCACCAACAAGGGCAAAGCAGAGGTGAGAGTGAGGCTGGAGGGGTCTCAGGGCTGGGGAGGCCAGGGAGGGGATCCCACCCTGCCCAGGCACCCGGGGCCGTTTGCTGCCAGCTCCAGCCATGGCTCTTGCAGCTCGCCCTGTGTCTGGGCCAACCTGGGTGTTTGGGGGCTGCTCAGTCGCAAACAGCCTGATCTGCCCCTCGCAGGAAGCAATTTACACCTCCATCCCCGGAGCTGAGGTGCCCAAGGCTGAGCAGGAGGCGAAGAAGAAGAGGAGAGCTGAGGACACGTACATAACCATGGTGAGGAACTCAGCAGGCGTGCTGGGACCCCCACACCACTCACTGCTCCCCTCTCCAGGGCCATGGCACCCAGGGCATCCCTCCCTGTGCCAGAGCCCAGCATCCCACACCCCCAAACCCCCCTGGCACCCGTGGTGAGGCTCACACCCTGTCCCTTGCTCCTGCAGCACCCATCTCACTGCCACGACAACGGCGTCTACGTGGAGCTGGCCAAGAGGGCCATCCCATCAGAATGGATGGCAGAGGAGACCCAGGAGCATGGACAGGACCAGGAGCCCCTCAGCAGGCCAGAGGAGGCACCTCCCCAGCCCCCAGAGCAGCAGAAGTAGCTGTGCTGTGGATGCAGCCCCGTTCCAGGTGTGTCCGACACACCTTTGTCCCTGTGAGGACCGAGAACTGGTGACACGTATCTGTGTGCCCCGTGCCAGGGCACTGCTGGGCACAGCCCACCCCAGCTGTGTGCAGGGCACCAGGGGACACCTGTCCCGGTGGCTCCTGGGACTCCAGAGAGTGGGCACAGCCTCACGCTCCAGCTCTGCTCCTGGCCCAGGTGAGCATCCCCGAGGGGGCAGAGGCAGCAGGAGCTGTCCCAGCGTTTTTCTGTACATAATAAAACTCAGGGAGTCTTCCCTGATGCTGTCTTCGTTTTACCTCCAGCCTGAGCATGTGATGTCCAAGTGTGCCAAAACCTGCCTGGCCCAGGGCCTGGCAGCCCCTGAACCTGTGTGCAGCCTGGCACGGGGCACCAGGCGGGAGCAAAGCCAAACGGG